TTGGCTCAGTGGAGAAAAGGAACAGATGGTGTGTCCTTTTGCCAGGAAAAGAATAATAAACTTTGTTTAAAACTGGCTGGAGCGCTGTACACAATCCTGTTTAAATAACCAGAGTTTTGTGATACCAACAAGATAAAAGTTTACAACTATTTTTTTAAATTATTATATTGGTATATAGCATGCAATTAAGTATTGGACACGTCAATAATTGTCTGGGTGTTAACATTTCTAAAAGGGCCAGCAAAGCAGAAAGCCCTTTCATGCAAATATATCTAATAACATTATATATTAATTAGTCCTTGAAATAAGGTTATGGGTAAATAAATTGAATGATAAAGGGACTGAGTATTGGATCAAGAAAAGATTATACAAACAGATATTAAAACCCACAAAACCTGTTTTATTTGTCCATATTTAGGACTATTCCTTTTGCTATATCCAAATCAATATAAGCAGAATAAATATTAACTGGTGTAATATTGCTATGAGCTGTACAATGATAAAAAGTGAACAGACCAGTAATAAAATGTTGCAAAACATGAGTAACATTTGACCCTTTAACACAAAGTAGGAGAAACTTGATTTAACCATAAACCAACAAGTTTTCTCAACATAAAATGTATTTATTGAATTCAATATATTAAAGAACCTTAGAATAGCAGGTGTATTTTTTTGTTATGAAACAATAACAAAAAAGGTCCCCAAAAAGTGGCCTCTATATAAATAATATTTGATAAACTCCAAGCTGAGGAAAGTGTGTGATAAACATTGTTTCAAGGGTGTAGAATAAAACAAAATAGTAAAATCTAAAAGAATAAACACTGATTTAGTTTAGTTCATTTATATTGTGCAAACTCATACCACAATTCATTTTAATCCTATCACACAGACAGATTATTTGAAATGGTTTCTGTCTAAGGAAAGCAGGCAAATTGCATCAGGTGATAGACTTGCAAAGTTCAATTCCACGTTGCTGATTTTGCAGTAATCTCTCATCCCAAACAAACATACATGTTGCAACAGTGGAGAGAAAAACTCATTTTTAACAGGAAGAAGAGACGCGCTGATCCAGGACTGCTTCATATGTGAGGTTAAAGTAAAACAGTCACTGGCTTCATCTAGAAGAGAAACACAGCTGAGTAGATAAGCTCTAAATCAATTTCCAAGTCTATAGGATTAAAAAGAGGACAAATAGTAAAGTAAAAGCTCATCTAGATGAGGACATAGGTGAATGCTTTGGATTTTATTGTGAACATCGTGTTCAGAGACAGAATGATTTTGCATGTCATCTGCAATTGTCATGTTTATAGTGAAGAATATGGTCTGGGTTATCTTGCACCATGTGTTACTGGCAGAATGAATATAATAAAGATTCTTAATAAAGATGAAAAAAGTGTAGATTTACAACAAAAACTCTCAAACATATAGCCAAGGAAGATAAAACTAGGAAAGAAAACACAGGATTTAAAAATAAATCGAAGGCAGAAGGGAGAGGATAGGTGAAGGGTTCATCTTAAACTTAATCCCTGACTCAAAGGTCACCCTAAAGAAATACAGAACATTTCTATAAAATCGATAGAAATCTATAAATAAAACTGGGGATTAGACAACATAAAAGAAAAGTATTGTCATTTTATACATTTGAATAATCATGTTGCCTTTTTAAGTCAGATGGATAAAGTGTTTCGTGCTAACAATGGAATTAGCACCACTGAGTGTGTATCCATGAGAGGAGGTGAAAATATCAGGTTTTACAGTGAGTGTCTCTCTCAGTGCTGCCAGAAACACTTGTCATGCCATATTATGTGCTGCCAGGTATTTTCCTGCTCTCTATAACTTTCCCATCCCACTCCTGCCTAATCAGTTTTAATTGACTTTAATTAGCATCTAGTAATTAATTTTGTTTTCTACAATTTATTTGTGTGACTGATCCCAGCGGGTGGTCTTGTTCAGCTCGTTAGGGCCAATTAGCTGCAATTAACAAACACTAATGACGTGCCTCTTTTCATTCCAAAACAAACAATGTGCACCCTGCCAAATTCCAGCACTGCACTGAGATCTTTTTTGTGTGCGAGTGAGCTTAATTTGACACACATGCTCATCAAGGAATTTCAAATTACTTTGGATGGAATATTTCACCTATTTATCATTTTTTTTATGTTTTATGTGTCCTGTCTGCAAGGTTTCCAAATACAATCGAGGTAAAGGATGTTCAGTCAAGTCAATGTTTATTTATTTTTATTTTTTTTTGTGATTTTCTTTTATATACACTGATGCCGACTGATCTGAAAAGGCTGAATGCACTGGATTTATTAAACTTACTATTATATGTTATCCAATGCAAAGAAGAGGTACTAATTACATTCATTTTGGCCATCTTAGGAAACAATAAATATTTAAGTACTAGGCAATGCAAGGAAATTAAAAAAAAACAACAGCTCTTGCAATCTTTCTGTCCCAACAGCAACAGATTTTCCTTCTTGCAAAGACCATAACAGGAATCTTTGAAGACATGCATTATTTCAACAGATTCTTAAAATAAATCTAAGATTTTTTTCTTCTGGCAGCAGCAAGGTCTCGTGAATTAATAAATTAGTGAATAGCTGACTGCAATGCTATCAAATTCTACAATACCTAACAGCCTACAGCATTTTTGCATTTTTTTTAACAGGCCAAACATCTGAGTCGCTCTCCATGGTACTTAAATCAACAAGGAAAATAAAGAATGAATAGAAAGAATAGTAGGGATGATACAAATTTTCTTTTTAGTTAATTATTTTTTAAATATTTACTATGATCAAAATTACAGATAAAATCTGAAATGATTGTATCTGCTGTGCATTAATGTCCATGATGCATATTGGTCAAATAATCAAAATACTTATTAAACTAAAATGATTTTTCTAGTCATGTTGGATTGATATATAAAGATTAAATTGCCAGAATCTCTTCTTTAAATGACCTATAAGACTAAAGAAATTATAACTTAAGTAAGGGCCAGGGGGGGAAAAAAAGAATTTTCTGTTGGCTAATCTTTTTCTGCATAAAAAAAAATCAAGAGAAAAAAGTATAAGGGTTAACAAAAACAAAACGAAAAGAAAAGAAAGGCTTGCAATATCTGATCTTGTCCAAGAAAGATTCCCAATTTCAGCTCTTTAATTTCCCTACAGTACAGTTCCCCCTGCTGCTGGGACCTGCAGTTATCGGAGTCGAACAGAGCTGGGAGCCTTGGAGGGGGAAGTGCGCTATCTGCGTCCCCATGTGCACCAACATGATCCGATAAGATCTATAAGAGACGGCCTATCGCCTCAGATTATAACCATTAGTGATGCTCGTCCTTTAAGAGGGATGAAGATTAATGCTTGGCCACAACATTAATCTATCTGTCCTCTCCTCTATGCTGAAGGGACAGACCTACTGATCATCAGTCACCTGCCACTACTTCCAGGCTCTTTTCCAAGGAAAACATATTAATGACATCATGACTGACTCTTAAAATGAAATCATTATTGTTTCTAAAACTACAATGTAGACCAAAAACAGCTAAAAAGAAAACTGGAACAGAGTCAGCATGTTTCTTGAACTGTATGTCCTTATTAAACAAACTATTGGATCGTATTTGATCAGTAAAATGTATATTTACATACATACCAACAATGGGAACTGATTTATTATCTAAGTATAAGAAGTTACTGAAATAGTAGGGAAATTTATGTCAATAAGGCGGCATATAAAGAGTTCCTCATACAACTGCTGCTAAAATTGTGTAGTTTACCAGAAACAACAGGATTAGAAGGCTGCTCACTTTCAAGTGAAGCTTTAGTGTTTTCTCTAAATAGTCAATAATGCATAAAAACTTTTTCAATATATTCTAAAGGAATGGCATATAAACAGTTTTCCTGAAAAGTACCGATAAAAGGGCTGCTTATTTTAAACCACTGGGTATAGAAGCATAACTTTCTTGCAAGTATGACTTTTGCTAAACAAATTAGGCCTGGATATGCATTTAAATTATTATTGAAAACAAAAGCTAAATTCCAAACACAAACATTCACAACCAAAAGTTTAAGTACAGCTAATATTTCTATTATTTCTATTATTCGTATTTCTACGATACCACTAGAATAAAAAATATCAGCCGTAGTGTGTTTAAAAAGCTCAACCTATTATTGGAGACACAGCTGCCTGAATGAATATCACCTTTTTGATAAGATTTATTTGAAAAAAATAATAAAGCTTGTACAAAAATGTGTCAATCAATAAAAAATAAGTTTATAAACTAATATTTTGGGAATAAAATTTCCATGTGGTTAAAATGCGAATCTTTTTGTCAGTTGTTCATTACCCTACAAAATCCCATTTCATAGTGCAGGCCCTGGCTTAGTAATAGGGAGTCTATGGGTTTATAGCGTTGTTGTTAAGTTTTTATTGTTTTAGAATAAAAATCGTTTACCTTTATTGTGTATACCCGGTGTATTACATTTATAAGCATGAAACACAAACAAAGCTGACTCCTCATAGGTTTCTGGGGCTGATGACGTAGACTGTTCCTTATTAAGCAATAGGCTGAGCAGCACAAGGTGCGCTCATTACAGCCTTCAGGCTCAGAGCTCATCAGAGGAACAGAGCGCAGGCTGTGTGCTCCGACTGCTCTTCACCTCTATTTCACTGTTTTTCATACAGCGCGGGGGATATTTTGCCATTTTTATATTGTTAATTTTTTTTCGATCAAATGGGGGAAAAAATTGGAAGATCTTGACGGGCTCGTTTTGATTTACAAGAAATAATTGAATCACAGAGATGCTTCCTATTATATGATGAAAAGAATCTTTGGTTCGGAGCCGTTTTGGATTACAGGACCCAACAAACGGATGGTGATGTAGCCCAGTCATTCACAGCAACCTGGACCCAGTGGATTTCCAGGATCCCAACATCAGAAAATCGCAAAGGGAGGAAAACAGTCCGATTCTAATCAGCTGGACCGGAACCTAGTCCGGACAATGCTGCACTGTGCCGACTGTGAGAAGCCTATTCTGGACAGGTTCCTTCTAAAAGTTTTGGACAGACCATGGCACATCAAGTGTGTCCAGTGCTGCGAGTGCAAATGTAGTCTCACAGAGAAGTGCTTCTCTAGGGATGGAAGGCTATATTGTAAGAATGACTTCTTTAGGTAAGCCCCAAATGATTTTATATCCAAAATATATTCAGATTATTAAAGTATTTTTTTTCCAGAAATAATGCAACATAAAAAAAAAAAAAAACCTTAGAAGCAGGTTCCCCCAAAATACAGAAAATTAAATTAATTAAGCTTAGAAAAACAATACATTTAATTTTGCTGGAAACAAATAATAGTGTGGAAAGGGAATTATCTTGGATTAATATATATTTTTTTCTATTATCTAATATGTTACTAATCATATAGAAATAAATCTACATTAAATATTGAACCTAACAGTTATGATTAGAAAATTAGATTACATTTTCAACCATGCACTGCAAAAAAAATTCATATCTCAATAAGTAATATTTTCTTAAAATAAATGAATGTTTTCTTGAGTTGAGTAGGCTGCGAATGAAACAAGACAATTTTCATTTAACACAAGAAAACAACAATTACATTTTATGTTATATTTGATCTTATTTGAAAAGGAAATCAAATGATCTACCCACTCAAATTAAGGGGAAATACACTTTATTTAAGAAACCTTTACTTATTTCTAGATCATTTTTGCAGTGTATTTGGGAACAACAAAGGCTAAGTTTATTCTTTATATATAATTTAAATATTTTACCTAATTATTTACGTACTGATACTTTCCAAAAAAGTTATACTGAAACTTTCTCTTGTATCATTGTTTTATTCTAAACAGGAGATTTGGGACCAAGTGTGGAGGCTGCTCGCAGGGGATTTTGCCCAGTGATCTTGTCCGCAGGGCAAAGAGCAAAGTGTTTCACCTCAACTGTTTCACCTGTATGATGTGTAACAAGCAGCTGTCCACCGGGGAGGAATTATACATCCTGGACGAGTTCAAGTTTGTCTGCAAGGAGGACTATCAGAACAACAATGGGAAAGACACAATCCTGCTTTCAGGTGACCTCATCGAGCCTCGCTGCTGTAATGACGCTCATATTGACTCCCTGCTCTTACATGCCATTGTTTACTTCTCTGACAGTAACGACGTGCAGCGATCGGAGCCTCTCTCCGGACTCCCAGGATCCGCAGGACGACGGGAAGGACTCGGAGGGCGGACACGCGTCCGACAAGGAGACGTGCGGCAACGACAACGACGAGCAGAGCGCCGTGGGTAAGCGGCGCGGGCCTCGGACCACCATCAAGGCCAAGCAGCTGGAGACGCTGAAGGCTGCGTTCGCCGCCACACCGAAGCCCACCAGACACATCCGGGAGCAGCTGTCCCGGGAGACCGGCCTCAATATGAGGGTGATCCAGGTGAGAAGGAGGCAGAGCTTGGAACGAGCTGAAAACATAAATAAAATAATAATATTTAATAATTTTAGACTATTTTTATTATTTATTCTTTAGTTGATGGCATGTTAACTATACAAAAAGAAAAAAAAAATTAACTGTGAAAAACAAGTATTCGTTTTTCTTGTGAAATGAACATCCAAAGTGCCGACCTTCCTGTTTCACTTTTTACTTTTTTTATTGCGTTTTTTTCCTTCTGTTTTTTCCCATTATTGTCTCTACCTCTCAAACAAGTCAGACTGCTTGAATGAATAAAAAAGATCCGTGTAAACATTAGAGTGTTTTAATCTTTTTACTTAGTCAACATTTCTAAGTTTTGGCTCTGTAAGTTTTAAAACTAAAAAACACTCAAATAAATCACTTAAATGTAATCATTTCCCAATTGCTAAACTAAATTATTTCAATTATGAATAATTATTAATGTAATTTACTTTATTCGTTTATCCTCCGAAGTTAAAAAGTAACATAAAATAAGAATTAGTTTGAGATTACAGCATGTTTCTGAAGTTGTAATAAGCTTTTATAATCTTTTTGCAGTGAACCTATTTCCATCACAACCACAGGCATGTCAGTCATTGGCAAGTAGCTATAAGCCCAACTAAGTCAGACCTTAGTCTGAAGTGACATATAAATTACACCATTCTGGTTTTATCAAGGTAACTTTCCCTGTTAAGTTTCATAGTGGTGTTCAATTTCTGTGGAGTAAAAATATACATTTTTGGTTAAAAAAAATAATTTGCACATTGTGGTTATTTTTTCAGAACTACAATTTGCAAATAAAAGAAATACAATAGACTTCTGCATTTTATTTATCATACAGAATACCTAAATCCTAGCAATGTTCACCATTTAAAGTAACAAATCCCCAAACTTTTGAGCAGATTTTCCTCTAGTCATCTGATCATACGGTTGGCACAAATATTTTATCCAAGTTTAGAAAGCTTTGTGACAGTGGAAAATTGCTGGAAACCTTAACCCCCTTATCTTTTTTCTTTTTACAAACCATATAAAACAAAGAGTTGCAATAATTAGTAAGAATAAAGCAGTGAATTTTGAATTTTTTTTTGCACTTAAATACATTCATTTGGCTATTCCTGTTACATACATAATTCGATCTTACACATTTTTGTAAAAAAAAAAAAAATAGATACAGACAATTTGTTATTGCAACTTAAATTCCTCGAATTAAAAGCTTGTTTTATCGGTGCAGATCTGTTTATCTCTGATGGACATTCACACAACAAGTAAGTCAAACTGTTGACTGAGACAATATAAAACTAATACATGCTTAAACGGGATTTCCTGTCCTAAAAAGTCTAAATAATAGATTATATCCTATTTTGAATATTACTTTCACAAACTATCATGCTTGGTGGAAATCCTAATACTCTAAACGAGCTCGCATTTATCTTGTTATCTTCTAAGATTTGGCTTATTTCTGGAGTCTTGATATGGGAGCAAATATCTAATTTAAAGTTTCTATTTTTTATTTTATTTTATTCTTTTTGTGCCTCCTCTATCATTTCATTAATTCCTCTCTAGCCTATTATTGAAAATGTCAATTGATGTCTCCTGAAGGTTTGGTTCCAAAACCGGAGATCCAAAGAGCGCCGCATGAAGCAGCTGAGCGCACTGAGCGCGCGGAGGCACGTGTTCTTCCGGAGTCCGAGGAGGATGAGAGCTCTGGGAGAGAGACTGGAGCCTGGAGAGCTTGGCCATTTCTCCTATTATGGAGGTCAGATACATAACGGCGCCATGTCTTTTCATTATACTTGTCATTCATAAAGCTGTTTCAGTCTTTGTGTTCTGCTGCCATTCACGCGCTGACCAGGGGCGTCTCTAGGTTTAAGACACAAGGGTGGCTCAGCCCCTAGAATATAATGCGCGCGAATAGCGCGCGCCGAATTTTTTCAGTGCACCTGCTAAGGCGTTGTCTAAGACAAGGGTGTAACTTTGTGTTGAAAGTTGGTGGGGACGGCTCATAAGGAAAGGGAGCTACCTGCGCGACGCCTTTTTTTTTTTGTTGGAAAGGATAAAGCCAAAAAAATGCGAATAACATTTATCAATTTAATGCTTACAGTTGAAAACATAACTGTTACAATATTCACTTATATATTTTGTGCAAAAAATATCACATAAATATAAACAGACAGTACAAATCAAATAAATATATCAATTTTGTAGAACATTTATTGACAGTCAATTTTGGGTCACTTTTTAAAATTAATTTACTTTTAAACCAGGACTCGGACAAGATCATATGGGACCTTAAGCAGAATATGATTAAGCAACTCCGTCTTTCTGTCAAGAACATCCACCAGCAGGGTATCCAGGGGGGGATTTACCATTAGGCAATACTAGGCAGTTGCCCAGGGCCCCAAGTTCTGGGGGCCCCATAAAACTCTGTTTCCATGTATGGTTAATACAACTAATCCTTATTTGTGCACATTAATTATGTTTTTGATAAAAATCCTTTGTCTAAAATGCCATCAGAACGCTGATAAATAGAGAGAAAAAAGGGACAAGAAGAGAGGGACAAAACCTAGAACAGATAATGGATGTCTATTCTATTAACATTTCTCTATCTGTAGAATGGGTCTGTTTTATGGGTTTTCTTCTCAGGGGGCCCCCTGCCTGTCTTTGCCTAGGGCCCCAAATTTCCTAAATCCGCCCCTGAGGGTATCACTACTGATTTGATAGAATCTGGGAGAGCGGACTATGTTCAACCATCCATTTTCTTTAACCTTATCCCTCAGTGGAATCAGGAGGTGCTGGTGCATATCTCTAGCCACGTTCTGGGTGAGAGGTGGGATCACCCTGGACAGGTCACCAGTCTGTCGCAGTATGTTCAACCAGCTTAAAAGTAATCGGTAATCAGATTTATTATTTGCACTTTTACTAAGTGAACTTTCTAACTCCCTTAAATCTGAAATTCCAATGCCAAAATTGTTTAAATCTTTTATCTTTGGACCCCCTGCAGAGTGACGTCACACCTGCAAGATCCTATCCTTACCTTCCTGCTAGATTGCAAAAAGCAGCTTGCTCATGAGTTGACAACATAACACGCTAAATCTTAAATGTACATGTACATATAAAAGAAAAAGGGGCGCAGTGCTTGCTACTGAATGGCAACACTATCAAAGTCAGGAAAAAGTTTTAAGTAAAGCCGGGATTAAAACAGTAGCTACAAGAAGCTTCAAATAAAAGGTGTTCTTTATGTTCAACCTAAACACCAACTCCGATAGACCATCAGCAGAGCAGGTGTTTAAATTAATCAATCACTGCTGCGAAAGCTTATAGCAGTGAAAGCTAATATACCACAGCCATCACTTAATAAACGCAAAATAAACAACCCTCTAAAAACGGAAAACTGTAATGGACTGAAAGTCCTGTTTTTTATGTGGGAAATTATTTGCGTGTGTTTTAGTATAATTCTGATATATTGGCGCTGTTGTCTGTTTCTATGGCAACGATACTGAATGTAGTGTAGCTTAGAGACCTGCATGGGTCGAGTTTTACCAACCCGCACCCGCCCGAACCCGTTAGGATGACTACCGAACCCGACCCGTCACCCGCGGATATCTTCAATTCAAATGTTATGGGGAGAGGTTGGAGGGGGGTGATGGGGAGAAAGCGAGAGGCAACAGAATCTTTTTTCTGAGTTTTTTTGTCGGGGTTTGTGGACGGTGAGCAGCGGGGAGAACTTTTTTTATTTTCTTTCTGAGGAGCGGCATGAATGGGGTTTAAATCAGATATACACAGCACCGAAAGCAAAATACGTGTACAAAATATTGGTGGGGACATGTCCACACCAGTCCTTAAGGAAGTTACGCCTATGATTGTTCAGATTAACTTGTCTTCTTTATGGCTTTTATTCGGTGCTTTACTGCATTTGTTTTGGGAAAATATGAGGAAAAAATAAATACAGAAAAAAATATATATTTTTTAAAATCGCAAAATAATTATAGGGTGGCTAATGCCAAAGAAAGGGTGGCTGAAGCCACCCTAAATAGGTCTAACGACGCTTATGTGACCCCCATGTTTTTAACAAACGCAGATTATCCCAGTGAATACTACGGCCCAGGAGGGAATTACGAGTACTTCCAAGGCCCGCCTTCATCCCAAGCTCAGACCCCAGCAGACTTGGGCTTTGTCCCATCCACGGTCCCCGCCGGCACCCCGTTAGGAGCCATGGACCACCACCACCATCACCACCACCAACACGCAGCGGTGGGGCAGCACCACTGCGGCGGAGGAGAGGTACCGTGTTTCTCGGACAGCGCGTCACACCACCCTGCGGACTCGCCCAGCCCAGAGCCCAGCGGGCCCGGTTCCATTCACAGCATCTCCAGCGAGCTGTGCGGCCCCGGAACGCCGTTCACCGCTGTGACCCTCAGCGACACCGGATACAGCAACCAGCTGTCACAGCCCTCCTCTGAACTGAGTGAAGGCACTGCCTGGTAATACGGACAAAACTAAGCACTCACTTTATTTTATTTATTTATTTATTTATTTATTTATTTATTTATTTATTTATTTATTTATTTATTTATTTATTTAGGCACTTGTTTAAAAAGTTTTCATGTGAATGTCCAGCAGTACTTTTTTTTGAAGATAGGCCTCATTGATCAAGCAATAAGCAAACAATGGTTTAAGTTTGTTTCAGAGGATGGGAAGCAAAAATCCTTCTTAAAAACTCAACTATATTGAATTAATCTGGGGTTTAATAATTGGCCAAAGGGTCATTTAGGCTCCCCTAACCTCCAGAAGACCTGTTAAAACATTTTTTTTTTATGAAACCTGAAATAAACCTGCCTGTTGTAGCATAAACTCTGTGTTCAATTAATAAATATATTTGTTTTAAGAAGAGGGTCTGAAATGCATTTATTTTCTTCACTTTAATTATACTGCACTTTGTTTTCAGCCGACTGATTAAGAAGTTTAGGGTATGATTTTCCATGAGGATGCTTTAGCAGCACTGTCCAGGATTATCAGAAGTTCTGACCTGAACATGCATGATGTACTGTACACTTTTTTTTTGTTGTTCTTGTTTTTTTTTACACACTGACAAACAGAACCCTGTCTCTTTGTAATTATGTAAACCAGGATTTTATCATTTGGTTACAAATCACACGCTATGACTGTGACACTAAAAAGATCTATACAGTATGTCTCTCAGGACTGTGATTTGATTTCTTTTTTGTAACGTCTTTACATGTCTGCCTTCAGAATGATATCTTTGTAAGTCTGACGATTTTATATTGGTGAAGAAGGGTGATTTGGCTTCATCGCGGGTCCATCTGTATGTGGGATTATGAAGAAATAATGTACAGAACAGTAAATGGTTTTCTTAAGGCTCTGCTGCTCGAGTGTTTTATTTAGATCATATTTTGTCCTTCTGTTAGAGAAACAGTTTAAGGCAAAACTCGGATGCAGTTCTGCACTTTTAGCTGTCCAGTGGAAACGATTTCAACCAACTCTGTAATATGTTTTAAGCTTGGTTTTATGCACTACTAAGAAAGAAAGAGGGACTTTATCTATATAGACTCAAATGTAAAATAAATGGATTTCAGAGTCTTCTATGCAACAAGAAATGCTCTTCCTTTTAGCATTGCTGCTTTATTGATAACCAAAAAAAGTTGCCAGTTGTTGTCCTTTTAGTCAAGTCATTCTATCTCTAAAGTTAGTAAGGATTGTTTGTGCTACATTGTAGAGACAACACATTTATTTACTCAGGGTGTCCGTTGGGCTTAGTCAACATAAAACATTTAAAATAACTTCTCTTTAAAGCAGCTTATATCTATGTATACTTACAACTGCTGCGTAAATAATAACCCAACTTGATTGATTTTGCTATCCGAGCCCAATCAAAACAGGCCAACCCAGGCCTGTGATAATATAACATTAAAGGGTTGGGTTAATGGTTCGAGCCAGCATAATAGGTCAGGTTCTTCAAACCAAAAACAGGGTAAACTGACTCATCTGTAATGTATTATTTAAGTAGATGTTAAAACAATCAAAATTAGTTGATTAAATTAACCTAAACCCCGAAGTTCTAAACAAATCATATCCTGCTCAAAAATAAATAATCCATTTATTATCTGCTTATGACCTGCAAGTGTGCAGGAACCGTATTTTTAAAATCATCAAATCAAAATAGGAATTATGATTTGGGAGTTTCTTTTATGATCATTTTATAAATGCAAAACTATCAATGTATTTCACAGTTAATAACATGAATAGGGGGCATATTTTTGAGCATTCTTAATGCACTTGCAGGAACACATAAAACACAAACAAATAAAGCGGTTCTAGTCTTTTTGTATTAACTTATAAGCATGATTATTCTAAATGGACCAATCTGTTCTCTAACTCGAACAGTCCATATCACATTCCAGATGGTGATCTGTGAAAAATGATAGAGCTCTCTCTAACCATCATCAACCTATAAAACACTGTCACTTGTTTTGCCCCAATATTTGATTAAAGCTATTCAACATCTCTACCAACAGCATAAACACAGAATTTGGGTTAAAAGCAGTCATTTGCTTTGTTTGTAGATTTTTCTCCTCTACTTGGAGATTTTTTTTTAAAACCAGAGCTTCTGCTTGTGGCGCTCCTGATATTGTTTGCTGCTTTAAAACACATGTGGGCAGAGATGAGTAAAAGTAACAACTTTTACGATAATCTTCCCATTCAGCTAAATCCATCTATTTGCTTTTTCCTTGTCAGGATGGCAGGGCGGTTGATACCTATCTCCTCAGACGGGAGGCGAGTAAACTCTGGCTGGATCGGCAGTCCATCACAGCGATACAAAGAGACAGACAGGACAAAACAACCATGCACTCACAAACTCACTCCTATGGACAGTTTACATATAGTGAACTTGTTCATCTCAAGCACAAGGCTGAACAAAATACTAATCAGTTAAGACTATTCTATATACAGTAAAGGATGAATCCCCTTTCTGTTTCCTCCCTCCTTTTAGGTTTATGTACAAACTGCAAACTGACATTACATCTAGGTCCACCCATAGTGGGGAAGTTAGTGTTAGGTTTCCTGCACACTTCTGCACACGCTGGTAGATTGACAGCTAGCTCTAGACAAATGCACAATTCTATTGGTCAAAGTTGCAGGTGTGAAATTGTTATTTTTTTAGAGGCCATTAGAGGGACTACTGAAAAACAATTATTATTACACATAAGGAGAAATATAAACATTTCCCTAAATGAATCCAACAATTGAAACTCAGGGACTACACCCTTAATGCATATATGGTTTGTACAGGTGTCTTTAGCTAATGTATGTGTTGTTATTATAGACACAGAGATTTCAAACATTTGAATAATGTAGAGGAGCTTATGATATTTCTCAAATACAATACAATGTATACCATAGTGGAATCTGCATGAAATATGGACATGTGCAAATTTTGATGCACCAATGAGTGAAGAAACTGCATATAGTGTAAGCAGACTTACACCACATAACAATGTAGAGGGAAGAAAGAGAACAGAGATTTTATCAACATTGTTTATTTAAAGAGAGTGTCTAAAATTTTTATAAAAGGGAAAAGTGTTGAAGATAAATCAAATGGCCCAGGCCAAAATTAGACCATCTGAAACACTAACTGTGAACATAACATTTTTCTATCTTTCGTATAAAACTAAAATATTAAAAACGATTTTATTTTTAGTTTTTTTAATCAAGACTTTTCTCTACAAAGAAACTAATATATAATTTGATTTAATACATTCTAGTTAAAGGGAAAGAAAATGATTAATCTATGAATTAGGTGAATGGATTGCAGTCTTACTGATATTGCTGTAGATATTAACATTATTATACTTAATTATTTATTTATATCTTGTAATTGACAGATTGGATGAGATCTAATAAAGTTTCAATCATCTTACTGAATTGTTCCACATTGCTTATGAGTTTTTTTTCTAATGCTGGGTAACCATATGGGTCACCATCTAATGTTTGGTTAAGACTCCCAACATGCAAGCTCAGCATCTAAGTTAAAGGAAACATCACAGCAGCTTTTATTTTGTATTGGGTGGTAGTTGTTGTTTTAATGATACTCTGTTGTTACTTATCATGTTGTAAAAATCAAAACCGCTTCAAAGTATAGTCTAATGTTTAATAAATGTCATATATGAAAAAAAAAAAGAATATTTACATGGTACTTTTTTACGTTTTGACTGTAAATAAAAGCAGAAAACACTTTCAAAGTCATATATCAAATATCTCAGTTAGGATCAAAACCATAGCTAAGATTACTGTGTGTGTGTGTCACCGAGATGGTTACATCATGGCTTTGTATGCTATTGCAAGATAAAAATTATAATGCGAATTTCCAGGAGATTCAATTTTCATCTGTTCAAAAAGCTATATACAAAAAAAGACCAAGGATCTCGAATATCATACTATTCAGGGAGGAGAGATCATCGCTGTCCATGATAATGTATTTTAGTGTGAGAATAAAAGACCTTGGATCATGGCTGAAACTAGTAAAAGAGTAGTTCTAATACTGTTGAACAGCTTTTGTTTAGATTGGCTGTCTAAGGTAGTCGTCATTTTAAGAGACATGTCCTACAGTCAAAACCAACCAAAACTGAGGTGTCTGCCACTAATGATCACAATTATATTTGGAGAAAATGTAAGACAAGCCTGAGTGTCTTATGTCTGCAGCAAGTGGTTTGGTTCTTTACTGCATGGAACTGGTGCACTTTACAAAATAGATAGCATTAAGTACTGCAAAAACGATCTAGAAGTAAGTATAAATTTCTTAAATCAAGTGTTTTTTCCCTCAATCTTTGTAGGTAAAGATGATTTGCAAATTAAATTAGTATTTTTACTCTTTAAATAAGATAATTAGATAAAATGCAGTTGGTTTTTTTTCTTATTTTAAATGTAAATTACCTTGTTCTGTTGGCAAAGTGTCTCACCTCCTCCATTCAAGACAAAATGCACTTATTTTAAGAACAAAATGATTTTAGATATACATTTTTTAGCCATAAATTTTTGCAGTGTAATGAACGATATGTAAAAACACTAAAACTACATTTTAAAGAACTTAAAGGTTGGATACAAATAGATATTAAATGGACTAACACTGTCATCATAACAATAAAGTGTTACCACGTGGCTTAAGGACAACAAAGTTTATATTTCAGATTAGCAGTCATGATGCTGTGATCTTAGTCCTACAGAAAATAGGTGAGAAGATGTTTGTGAGGAAGATGGCCTGCAAACCTGAATCAGGTGTATATAGATGTTGTTGAAGGATACCCGAAATGTTGGAATTTGTAGTTTCTGAATCAGTTAAAATAGTCTAGAGCAGAGTACAGTACAATAGAGGGATTCATATTAGCGGAATAATTCCTTTTCTGTAATTGGAGCCAGATCCTTTTCATTCCTTAATCTAAATCTTACTTCAACTTAGATTTGGCCTTTTTGTTGTGACTGTTTCCCTTTAATTTGTTCCACAAGCCAATCCAGTTCAACTCTGTCTACACTTCTTGCCCCAGGCTCGGCCGTCCACTTTCTGCATGAAAATCATTCACATGTACAATTTTATAATCAATGCCCACAGTAATAGGATTCCTCTGGCCACGGGCAATTAATACAGTTTTCCCTTCTCCCCCCACCCCCCTGCCTCCCACCCTTCCTTGTGCAGATCTCAAAGCTATGAGACATTGGCTTCTCCTCATTTGCATATTTATTGCATTGGACTCAAATCTGGCGAGTGATTGATGTGGAGCCTGCCTCCTGAATTTTTAGCGGCCTATTATTATGAGAGACGTGGAGGGGGCTGCAGCGCGTCAGTGTACTCCTGATTAAAGTTGAAGAGGACAGAATTATGTGTTCCCCACCTACTGTCTTTTCTGCTGGTGTTTAATCTGCGGGACCCAGGAGCAGATTTCAGCCATAGGTGCTGACTAGTCATTCATTCAGAGAAAAAGCAGCTTCGCTTTGCCTGTTAAGATTTCCATCAGCGTTCATTTTTAGAGATGTTTGGGAAGCTTGCTCCACATTCATGTTGATGAGACTCTGATTTCCCACAGCAGAGATGTAAACTGACAAACACATCTCAGTTTTGCTAATATGATAAGATACATGTGAACATTGTCACCGCTAATCCATGAAATTAACAATTTCTATTTTTTTTTTCTCATAGGTTTGCCTTAAGCAGCAAAAAAAAAAAAAAAAACAAGATTCCTCACGCCTGCAAACAATCATTTCTCGGAAAACATTTGTGGCTTCATTAGGTCTCCGGTTGTTTTTCTACTTTACCAAGTGATTTACCTACAAGGTCTGTCATTTCAATGTGGAAAATGAGACAAAGA